TGCCTGCCTGCCTTCCTGCCCGCCCCGGCCAAGGTGGGATCCCTGCCTTCCTGCCCGCCCCGGCCAAGGTGGGATCCCTGCCCGGCGCAGCAGCGGGGCTCGTTGCCGGCCGTACGGCGGAGCTCGCCACGCGGGCTCCTTTAAATTGAGGGCGTTTCGTGTGTCTTGCCGGCTGCTCTCGAGTTTAAAGAGAAAGGGGCCGGAGCGAAGCGGGAAGGTGATCTTTGCCCGGCGGTTCTGCAGTGGGGAGTAGGTGCTTTTGTTTCCTTCCTCCCCGCTGTCCCGGCGAGGCTGCGGGGTAGGTCGGGGGCGCCGCACGGCGGGGGCGGCTGCCGCCGCTGTCTGGGGGGGTTTGTGGGGTTTTGGGGTGGATGTTTTTCCTCCCTCTCTCTGACCGTGGGAGTTTGAAAGCATGGCGGAGGCGGAATGAGAGTGTGCGTGGGTGTGTGGCGGAGCTCCACGCGTGGTTCCCCCGGGGCTCAGCGCGGTGAGGCTGCGGGCTGCTGGCGGGCTGCTCTGGGAATCGCGCGGAGGGCCGGGGGCCGCGGCGGGTTCTGCTTGGTCCTGCCCCCGAGGGGCAGACCTGGGAGCAGCGCTTCCAGCACTCATGGCAAAGCCATTAGTTCAGCCTGACTACGGAGGGGCCCCGAGGAGGACAAACGCACCGGACTCCGCGCAGGGTGAGAGCGGGGCGGGTAAGAAGGGACGGGGGGTGGCTCTTACTCACTGTGCGCTCACCCCTGGCCCCAACCTCTGGTTGATCTTTGTGGCTTCTCTAGGCAGCCCTGGGGTGCTGTGCTGATAGTGCGAGAGGAGGAGGGCGGGTTTGTGTGTCCGCAGCGCCCGCGGGAAATGCGAGCATCCCTCCGCATATGCGGCTGCGGCAGCTGCGGGGCGGGAGGCGGCCGAGCTCCGCTCCGCGCCCGGCTCCGCGCCCGGCTCCGCGCCCGGCTCCGCGCCCGGCTCCGCGCCCGGCTCCGCGCCCGGCTCCGCGCCCGGCTCGCCCCTCCGCCGCCCCCAGGGACAGCAGGACGTGCCAAAAGCCGCCCTTGCAAGGCTCTCGGTTTGCTCTTCAGGTTCTAGATTCAAATCTCCGAGGACAGAGTTTCGCGTTTAGGAAGGCTCTGTTTCTTCACTGGCGCTCTGTGTGTAAGGAATGAAGGTTGCTGTCGTTATCTGGGATTGCTATGTGCATCCTGGTGCAGTGGTTTCATCTGAGCCTGCTGTCTCTGCAGTGGTTTCATCTGATCCTGCACGCTCCTAGGGGAGCTCCTGGGACACCAGGATGGATGCATTGCAGCCTCCCCAGTGGAGTTTCAACATACTTCTGACATTACTTGGCAGTGAAAAATGAACGAAGTGTTATTGGTTTTCCATGTACATTCAATTATGTATTTTTTGTTTCGTTGTGAAGTAGATGCTGTGCCAAGTGTAACAGTTTTATGAAGGTTTTGTGATGTGGATTGTGATTTAATAGGAAGTTTCTAAATAGGATATTCATAATTTCATATTGTATGGTGCCATGGGCTGTCTGATTAGGGTTATACCACCCTTGTTGGAACCATGCTCAAACCTATATGAAGGTGGTGAAGTGCTGAAGAGTCAATACTATCCTCAAGTTCTAGCTGCCACTTACTTTATCCTTTATTTGGTCATTTTATTTATTTTACCTACAGTCTTATTTAAATTGGCACACTTACTATTCACAGTACCTCTTCAACTCCACTTTACACCTCTCAGTTAACACTAATTTCAGGACAGGATTTAGAAATTAACATCATAATTAAAAGCAAAGCTGATGATTGGAAGTCAGCTTGTAGTACTGTCTGCATAGTGTCCTTGCACCAAGAGACACTTGTAATTCTTGTGTGATGTGATATGTCAGTTTAAATACGTATTTCTTTTTCTAACTGGTGGAGGTTGAAACTTCTTTTGTACTAATTTTTAATGGCTATTTTGCTTAGACAAGCAGAAAAACATATAGTAAGAGCCAGGCAAAGAGGAATCAACTTCAAAGGTTTTGGACAGTGTTAGGGATCAGGCTCAGTTTCCAGAAGTTATAACTTTATGAGCAAGTAGATAGTGAATGTTCCTAAAGTTTTGTTTTTGTCTGTGTGAGAAAGACTTTCTGCTTTCCTTTTGGTAAGGGAGACATTATCAAGGCAATCAAATTGTTTCTACTAGGCATAGTCCTGAAAATGTCTAGGTTTCCAATGATTAGAACAGATTTTTAAGTGTAGTTAACTTCGTTCTGGTCTGGCCTCAGACCAAGGGTCATACAGGTATAAAGTATCGATAAGCTGTTGTGCCAGGCTCTCCATCCTCCCCTCAAAGTGCTGCACACATTTGTAATGTATATTCATAATGCAAAGGACAAAGGCTTCTTGTGATTAAAACTTACTCTATCAGTGTAGATCACATTTTGATGTAAGCCATGAAAAATTCTAATTGATTAATGAGTTTCAGATGGTGGTTCCCCTTCAGTGCCCCTCCCCCTGCTCCTAATGTACAGTATGCTCCAAGTTAATCTGGGAAAACTCCAGAAACCTTGGACTAAATTGGTTGTGGTATGATTTATAAGGATAATAAAATAGCTAGAAAAATTAAATTTTCTTATAAAGATATGCTTGCTGCGTTTGTCAGCTTATGTTTTATCTGCTTGTTTATAGTAGTGAGAGAAGTTAAGATTACATGTAAGGTAGGTGTATGATAATGCAGATAAGAATGACCTGTTTCTTACAGAACAGAAAGCTCTGCAAATAGTTCTTGAAGAGGAAATATGCAAGGTAGTAGCAGAATGACTTTAAAAATGATTGTGTTTGTTTTTACCTATGTAAAAGGGCAAAATGAGAGTGATTACTCTCCTGTAGTAAACTGGAAATTGAAGGTGGTAAAGATTGACTAAGTAACATGTAACAGTGAGTGACAAGTCTGTTTTTTTTCTTACTGCTTCTTTTAGTCCATTTTTAGGATTTCAAGAAAGGGAGCTTTCACAGTTTCATTTGGGAAAGTCATTCCACTGTCTAGCTGATCTCACTCACCATAGGGAACAGTTTCCTGACTTTAAAAAATCAGAAGTTTTTAGTTATTTTTGTGGCTCTCAAAGGAAGGCATTCATATATTTTTTCCCTCTTTCTGCATATATGTGTATACACATACGTATATATATGGGTAAGGGGGTGGAAAAGCAAGAGCAGCCTTTAGTCTGTGAACTGATGTTATTCTCTCTCCAAATCTGAAAAATATGTCAACACTGGGACAGGAAAACTGAAGTTTTAAAATACGAATGTATTTATCCTTGGTTGTGTGATGTCTGTAAAACTGGCACTTGATGATGTGAAGGTGATTATTGCAATATGGGTCCTAAATTGTGGGCAGCTTCATTTCTGCTTGCACAATTATGCATTTTGTTCTGCAACTTAATCTGTTTATGAACATTGAATCTTACACCTTTTTTTCACTCAGCCTGCTGTTACAGTTAGGGAATGCTCCACACAGTCCACTTAAACTCTAGTAAAGTTTCAAAAGTTCTGTTCTTTTCCATCTGCTTGAGGTGATTAGAACTAGCAGGGAGATCCAGCAGAGACCCTTGCCAGATACTCATGAGCTCTGTTCTGGCTTTTGATCCTCTGTCTCCTCTCCTTCCAGGTTGGCTGCTTTCCAATAGCATTACCTTCTCCCTAAGACAGCAGGAGATTGTCTGCATTTGTAGCTGATACCCCTCTGTCAAAGCCAATGTACAGTCTAGTGCTCAAGTTCCAGTTCCTTCACAGAAAAACTTGCTGATCTTGTCTAAGTTGCTGTCTGTTTCCTCTATCACTGACAGTAAAGCAATTGCACAGTTGTGTGTATGATGTTTAGTTTCTTCTACAACTGGTGGCTAATATGCTTCCTCAGTCGTATTATAACAGATCTCGCTGCACAAGCTTCAAGCCTGCATATTTAATCCTGTGAAGATTTATGGAAAAGAGTCTTTGAACCCAGGATCTGAGGCAGAGTTATGCCAACTTCTGTTCCAGTTCTTCTAGCTTTGTAGAGCAACTAGGCCACTGAACTGGCATCTGTGCAGATCTTCAGTCCTGGATAACCCTGGCTTGGCTGCCAGCTGCACAGAGCACTTGCCTGCCAGGCAGCAGTGCCTGGGTGGCCAAAGCTGATGTCTGTGCACAGTGTCCCTGTCAGGCTGTACAGTGCAAAGGGCACATCGTGTGGGACCTTTGCATCAGAGGTGACTTCATTGATCACTGTAGGGAGTTCTGTTTGCTTTATGATTTTTTTCCCTCCATAGACACTTGTAACCTATTTTTATTCTAACTGAATACAAAGAAAAATGCTTGTTTCACTGGATACTTCTATGTTAATTCTTAAGTCAAGTCATGAAGAGCAAGTGATTCAGCAAGACTTCTTTATTCCTGACCTGCAAAGACTGTATGTAGGAGCAAGCTGAAAGAAATGGTTCAAGACCCTTTCTGTTTGAGAATTAATGCATGTTGTAATTGGGAACCAGGTTGAAGTGGCAGTGAAACTCGTGGTACAAAGAGCACTGCAAAGCCAACAGCTACTCAGAGTAAGCTGTTATTTATATATGCCGGAACTGGATAGGTAATTTGGAGTAAATATAATTAGGTAGCAGGGTGGAGCACATGTATTTTCTTTGTATGTATGTCTATGCATACATGCAAGCTTATATATATGCATTTTTCCTATACAGAATAGTTTTTTCCTCCCTTTTTATATTTGATTGAAGAAAATTATCACGATTTTACAGGTAAGGAGGATGGTTGGAATAGGAAAGGGAATTGAATCTGGGGATCTGCAACTATGCATGCTTCACTGGGCATCCAGTTTTATTTTCTAGATTAAACAGTCCTTGTCTCCTGTGTGTTTTAAGTACAGTGTATCATTCTTGATTCATTTTTTCCTACCTGTTAACCCCAACAAAAGGCAGTAGAGACACAGATGATCATTTGTTTGATTCTCATTGCTTTCACCTGATGATCTGATAACAAACATCAGATAGTGTAAGGTTACACTGCTGGCCAAATACAAGCAGTGAACAGCAATACACAGATAACTGAATGCACTACTGTAAAGCAAAATAAAAACTTCACTGTTCAGTAGGAGCAAGCGGAGAGAAATAGGAGCTTTTAGTGTGTTGAATCTGATACACATTTCTGGGTGTACTGTAAACCATCCCACGCTGAATTCTTCATCTAGACAATAAGGCTAAGAATTTGAGATGCCATCCTCTTATTGAGAGAGGTCGAAAAAAAGGTTGTGCCACATACATATGAACTGTAACACAACAGGATGAAAAGTAGTCAAAGACTGTTCCTTGTCTACATTCTGAATAGTAGGGGGAAGCACTTGCTTTAAAGCACTTAGAGGTAAGTTTTGAAAATGCTTCTGCATATCACATCAGCCTCAGCAGTTTATAGAGAAGTGTAAGATTCTATAAAATAATTGACATGTTTGTGTTGGCTAGTTTTAAACAGTGTTTATATGATGATTTGATGTTATTGTTAGAAAGTAGTGAGATTAGGAAACCCAATATTTTTTGGCCACTTCGTTCCTACTTTGTCTGCCAAAAGGAAAGGATGAAATAGTTGTTGGAGACAGAGGCTTGCCTCAGCTGTGGTGATGTACCCTTGAAAGCTGCTGTCTACCTCTGATGCAAGTTAGTCCCTTCCTCTGACCACATTCCTCACTGATAAATTGTCAACAAACTTTTCTTCAGTTCACTAAAAAAAGAAATATATTAAGACATGTTAAGGTAAAGATTTGAAAGTATCTGAGTGATGAAACAAGGGCCTGGCCTTCACCACAGGAAGAATCTTCAAACAAATCTTGAAGGAGCTCAGGACTCAGTTGCTGTCACCTTCATATAATTATCTCATTTTGGCTTCTTCATGCATCCCAACTACTATGTGATGAAGTTCTAATATGTTTGTACTAGTACAATAAAAGAGGTAGATTAACTTTTTACTGAAATTTGAGTATTCAGTACTGAAATTTGAGTATTCAGGCTTAAGTTGAATTTAACAGGTTCAGTAGTGATCAGTGTTTGCATGAAGAATAATTCAGAGCTTGAAAGTTTCTGATGCTTGCAGTTTGATAACTGATCATCAGTATCCCCTGTGGGGTTTGTGACAGGAGATACTCTGCTCCTTGAAAGATGAGTTTTAATGTCCAAGGTAGGAATTTTGTGGATTTTACTGCAGTTTAGGACAGTTTTCCAGAAAAGTAGTGGGGAAGTGAAAAATTTGGGTTTTTTTTGAAAATGAAGTCAAGGAAAACTTACACAGAGGTAAGGTTGGCTTGTATGTAATCTGCTATATGTTACCTGTAATTCTTCAGGCTCTTCATCAGTATTAACTTTCTCATTCCCCAGTCCTCACTTTGCATGCCCACTTCACCAATTAGTGCATACATTATTTAATTCAGGGCTACTATTTCAAGCAGACCTAGTCCAAGTATAGATACACGTGCATTAATCATTTTCGTCTTCTAGAGACTTTTGTCACCTGTCAGTCTGGCGTTTGTGATCTTTCCAGTTTCTCATTCTGAGAATGTGTCTTATGAAAACTACCTTAACTCAGAATACCCTTCTTCTCTCTCTTTTTTTCTTCTTACTACCACAGTCACTAAGAAACTGAAGCACCCTTGCATCCTCCAAAATCTATTTCCCCACTTTTCTTCCCTGAAGGAGTCCCAAAAGTTTCTTGGGACTTTACACAGTCTGATTGCTGAGTTAGGTCAGTATGAAGTATATTTAAAGACAATGCTGTATTTTAGAGGCAAAATGAAATAACATCCCTACTCCCTCAATTCTCTACTCTGCAGTGCTTCTTCCACAGGCTGATGTGGAAACCCAGACTGCTTCCATGTAGCTGTTAAAGAAGCCTTCCTTCTGTTTTGTCTTGTCTTAAATGTAGCTTTGAGACCATAGAATTACTTCAGCCCCACCAGTGTCAGCAGCCTGTATTGTATCTGGCTGACTGTCAGGCATATCATAATGTTGGTGATTAATTAGCCCCAGGTTCCCATAGGGAACTTCATATGCATGGTTTTGGAAGTGATGAAGTAGGGTGAAAGAAAAGGGTATTGCTCACTGTTTGCTTCTTGGCACAACCCAGCTCAGTGCCAGTTTTTACCCTTCTAGCAGGGTAGGGTGTCATGATTCATATTGCTCTGTGCATCCGTGAAATATCAGATAACAATAAGTTTAGGTTGGAAGGGACCTCCAAGTGTCATCCAGTCTAACCCCCTCCACAAAGCATGTATGAACTGTGAAATTACTCCCAGTGAAAAGGTGCAGGGTCTAACTGGTTCCTTTAGTAAAGTAGTTCTGCTTTTCCTGTTGTATTTTCCCAATTTGTAAGTAAAGAGAAACAAATTGCAGGATTTTCCTAAATTTTAGATACACTCAGGAATAAGAACTCTTTTTTTAATCTTTCTTTCTTTGTTTTTTGTTTTTTAATTACATTTTACCACTGTCATTGCAGAGGTAATTCAAGAGAACAAACTAATTTCAGTTCTGACTCTCCTCACTGTATCAGTGGAGGTTATAGACTCCAGAAAGTGGTCAAAGTTATTTGCTCTTTCTGGAAAGCAAGTAGGTGATAGATACTTGATCTTTCCCATAATCTTTGAACAACTGGTGTCAGTTACCTGTCTTGCCTCTGTTTCTATCCAAAATGAAGCAGTGATTTTAAAGACTAATTCATGTGGTTCTGAGTATCTTAGAGAAAATTTAAATATACTGTCATTGAAATTCCTAAGCTGTTGGTAGCTTCTAGTCTGAATCAGTCTATTTTGAGAGTGACATTCCAGATTGATTTTGGCAGAGCTAACAGTCCAAGTCCTCTCTCTCCTCTCCCTTGCAGCCTGGCGTAAATGAACAGGTATGATTTGAATTTAATTAACCAGGAAGCCATAAATCCAAACTGACATTTTTATAAAGTCAGTTTCACAATAGAGCTGTGCATAAGTTATGTACTTTAGTCTGCTTTAAACTCTTTTGCTTTCAAAGAAACTTTGATACATAAGGGTTTTTTCTTTTTTTGTTAGAAAATGTGAAATATACGCATAATGCAGAAATGTGTGTTTATACAAGAGAATAAATCTTTATAAATATTTTTTCTTCTCCTCAACTGAAAAAAATTGTCTAATTTCAGTACGAAGTATGTTTGTAGTGAAAGCTGTGCCTAATTCAAGGGCAAGCTAAACTTCAGGAGTGAGGTACTGTCAACAAGAGCTTTTGCAGATCTTTTTGCAAACATGGAATTTAGTTACAGAGTATGATAAAAAAAAAAAAGATAAAGAAAACAATTCAGTCATTGGTGTTTGCAACCATGTGTTAGGTCCACAACTGTTTGTCTGATTTCTTAGACTCATAATTGCTGTTGTAATTTTTGAATCATAGAGTGGTTCTATTGGGAAGAGACCTTAGAGACATCTCATTCCAACCCCTTCCCTTCCATGGCAGAGACACTTCCACTGGACCAGGCTGCTCAAAGACCTGTCCAACCTGGCCTTGAACACTTCCAGACATGGGAGTTATATTCTGGATGGGATTATTTTCTACAACTCTAAAAAAAATGGAGCGCGTGAAACTTTATTTGGTATAATGAAGACCTTTATTTTTTTTTTTTTTTCTTTTTGTGTAATTAAACAGGTACGAGGAGCAGATAAGCAATGTGCACTGCCCTGAGCCCCAAGGCACGTGGGCCTGGCCTCTCTGACATGCATCAGTACAGCCAGTGGCTCGCCAGCAGACACGAGGCCAACCTGCTGCCAATGAAAGAGGATTTGGCCCTGTGGCTCACAAACCTCCTGGGTAAGGTGCAGTAAGGTGGAATGCAGATCTGGGCAGTATGAGAGCTCCTTATGCTGTCAGCTGGGAATTCACATTTCTATGCACTTCAGAAATAAAGTTATGGTTATGTAGCTACTGACTTATAGCACAAATATTAGCAAGGTCAGGAAAGCTGATGAGTAATTTGCCTCCACTGTATTTCTGTGAGTAGCATAACTGAACGTTATACATTCCCTGTTTAGTTTTCTTTCCAATTTCCTCTTTTTTTTTTTTTTTTTTTGCATCTATTTTCTGTACTTATACCATTAAACTGAACGATGCTAATTACTGCCTTCACCTATGTCTTCCATTTTTATTGATAGATCTGCTACAGAGTATGTTGTACTGACTGTCTTGAATAGAAGGAGCTATTAAATAGTTATTCTCTCACCAAGCAGTCGAGTAATTGCTAATTGCTGCCCAAGGCAATGCATGCTAGGACTTGTGGTAGCCTGAGCATGGAGGGGTTTGACTTGGCATAGCTGGGGCCTGGGGATTTACTGATTGCAGCTGAGCATCTTGGTGTGTGAAGACAAGGCTTGTTGCTGTCAGAAGATGATGTAAACCAAAACTGAGGAAAAAAAAAAAATCAGGTACATTTAAAAAAGAGCAAATGAGATAGTCCCTGGCAGGAAGGAAAGATACAGTACCTTGAGATGTACAAATTATTCAAGGTGGAATTTAGAAACGATGAGCTAGGAAATAGTTATGTTGTTTGCTGAGAACACTGAGGGGAAAATGGCTTTGGTGTGATCTCTGTAAATACAGAGGATACTACCAAAGAAATAGAGCACTTACACTATACCTCATGCTAAGAGAGACATGTCAGTAATTCCTCTCATTAAATAAAGAGAAGAAAAATATTTCAGAAGCTATTTTTACATGAAACTTTAGTTGATGGGGTTCTGGAGGAAAATTTGGATGAACACTTTTAAATTTGATGTGTATGGTTTTGGAGGACTTATTTAATTAAAAAAGAATTCTGAAAATCTGTTCTGGTGAGACATGGACAGTGTCTTGTCATGGTAAATGCTGTAGTTAAACCATTTCAGTGGTATCATACAGTAACAGAGTATATCCAGTGTCTTTCATCAGCACATTCTATATTGCTCTATTGCCTCTTTTTTAAGAGAAAGAAAAGGAAATATCACTTATGTTACGACAGAGGAAGTCAATAAGCACAATGCCAGTGGAACACAATATTTTGCAGGTAGACAATTCCCATTTTTGACTTGAGTTGTGAATCCACAACTGCAAAAGTGGCAGGTGTTTTAAATTACATATTTGTGTGGTATTTCCATTGAAATTAATATGTTTTGTATATAAAATTGTCTATGCAAAACCAGAACAAAATTCAGAAACTTTTCTTTCCAGTTGCCACAAGACAGTAATCCAAGTGATTGTTTTGTGAATTGGAAGGCGCACATTCCATTGAGGATTCAATATATTGTTTAAACGTTTTAAACAATGAAGTTTTAGTGATCCACTCTAAAACAAATAGAAGCTTGTTTGCAGTTTGTAGCAGTGTTGTCTCAGTGATAAGTTTAGGAATGAGGTCACTCTTTGAGCAAGAAAGTAGCAACCAGCAGGAGGTTCCAAAATGCCAACTGTAATTAAATATCTGATTTTTCATATGGACACCAAGTCCTGCACTGCAGATCTAAATGGGCACAACCTTCTTTTAATTAAGCAGCATATCCAGTTCATTTGCTTAATGCATTCCCCCACACCTTCTTGCACCAAGCTCTCCTTTTCTCAGAGTTTGTGCTGATGAACTTGTAGTGATTTGCTAGACTGCTTTGAATTCTTGTGTAGACATTGTTATTAAAATTAATAATTAAATTACATTAAAATTCACATTGAAAATAAAGTGTGAATTAAAATAATTGTTATTCATAAGAGTAACTCAGAATTCAGATTTTGTTTAGTTACTGCATAATTTGGATAAACTTTAAATAGAGAAGGGATGTGTGAGCATGCTGCTCTACAGTGTTATAGAAATGAATATACAGCATGCATTTTTCAGCATCCAAAAGGATAGAAGAAAATGGAAGGCTTTTTTGGTTTGTTTTGGGTTTTATCCCCTCTAAGTGGAAAAAATAATGTATTTTGCATTACTGGTCAGTAGATCCTTGCATGCATGGAGGTGCAAGTGACACAGATCAGATAATACTGTGTGTATCCATCCTAACTTGCTCTGTCTGTATCTTGTGTGACTTCATTCTAAGTGGCCTTATGGCAGTTTTCATGCAATAAGATTTCTCAATTTATAAAGGAAATGAATATGCATTTCATTTAACTTTTGCCATTTTGGTTCATGTTTTGTATCATCTGTATTTTTGTCATTCATCTGTACGAGGACTCAACAAGGACACATAAACTTTTCAAAGAAATATAGAATTTTTTTTAATAGTATTTTAGGCAAGGATACAGCTGAAACTCTTTGAAGTAGTTTGATCAAGTGATGGTGTTTTAGGACATTTTTGTAGATAGACAATTAGGCATAGCTGGAATTCGACCTTATCCAATTGATAAATTAGAAAAGTGAGATACATGGTGCAGCTGGAAAATAATATTGAAAGAATTTTTAATCCTGAGACTTTGGATATTTAATTTAGCACGGACATTGTTGTGGGCGTTTTTGTTTAGTAATTGCTGGTACTTTTGTGTGCCCTTTGCTAATTATTTTTGGAACCATATCAGAGAAGCTCAGAGCTTCAGAGAGGACAGTTTGTCATTACAGCTCCATTGCTGAATAGATTTCAGTTTTCTATACTCTGGGGGATGGAAAAAGGACATTGCAGATGAAATCCATGTGTCAGATAGGATTAACTCATACAATATTGTACATTAGAGCATTTTCAAAGTGGGACATGTCAGTGTTGTGGTTTGTCTGCTGGAAAGGAAGATTGTAGCCATAGGTGTTGTGTTTCCTGTCCTTGCTTCTCTGTGTTGAGTTTGGTGTCTCAGTCACGAGTGGCAGTGATGAGATGTGTTAACCTAGCTGACATGCAAGTCGTGATGATCTCTTAGCCTTGTTTCTATTAGGTACAGAGCCAATGAAGCCTTTGGGAATGCTTTCACTGCTGACAAATTCCAAATTTTGTATATACTTAACTTTAGAATGTTCTTGTGGATGCTGTAAAGTTCCATTCCACCCTGAGCAAGCTGCACATGGGAATTAGCACACTTGGGCCACAGAACTCTTCTAGCAGAGGGAAAATGGCAATTTGAAGAGTTTGCTTGTCTGCTTTGCTCTCTAGTATTGTCTTGGTTTTTTGTGTGTGTCTGCAGAAGTGAAATGGCTGACACGAGGAGTGAGCTCCTCACCAGCCTGGAGTTTAGGACAGGTACAGAGAGGTGGTTTCCCTCTTTCCTCTTCAGCAGTTTTGTGGACCTCTGATATTTTTCCCCATTCCAAGAGTTTATATACAAGCTGCAGAGGGTTATATTGTCTTTTTATTCCATCCAGCTTCATTTAGCACAAGAGACTGACTACAGCTCAGGTGTATGCTGGGCCCCAAGGTTTCAGTCCTGAAGAAGTTTCTTCTTAAGAGGAAGAGGGTTTCAGAAACTTATAGCTGAGGGGCCAGGGAATGCAAGGTGCTGAGGAATTGGACATGTAAACACTGAATATTGTTTGATGCATGTAAAAGTTGCTTGGGTGCAAAAGTGAAGGAGGCTTGGAGACAAGGAGCAGAGCTGAGGATGTTAGGGGAGACATCAAGTTGAAGACAAAGTTAGGTGTTTGAAAGTTTGTGGAAGGAGGTGTAAAGTTTGTGGTTGGAGAATGGTACATCTCCTGCAAGAAAACTGTCTTTCTTTGATTCTCAATTAAATCTGTGTCAGCTTAGGGTTCTTGCTCACCTTGTTGCCTAAGCGTTCTGTAACAGAATATGTATTTTCAACATCAGTTTGTTCAGATCGAGCCAGTGGGAAATACAGATTTTAAATGTCTGAATATCAAGATATTCACAGTACTGATACCTCCAGTGACTCTGCTGGCACTGATACAGTTTCTTACTTAGTTGAGTTGTTTTATAGTTTCCTTTATTATCAGTGTGTCTTGGAATTTTTATATGTCCCATTTCAAGTCAGTAATAATGTCTCAATGCTTTCAAAATTATTTCTCCTACTGTCAACTATTGTAGGGAACAGAGTACTAACCTTGCCAGAAAAGAACCAGTTTTGTATATGCATAGTCCTTGACCTTGGTTTTCTTTATTTTTATCACTTTTTTTTCCTGGGTTTAGATGCCACGTGAATTGAGAGTGTCAGCAGCAATTGTTTCAGCAGTGCCTCAGTGTTTTAGATGTTTCTGAGATTCACTTGAGTGAAATATTTCTATTTGTAAACTACTGGTTTTGTGTTGCTAGACAAAATGTACAATTAAAATAGTCCATTAACAAGTTGTGAGGCTGGAGTCAGTCCTGCCCTGTAGTTATTACACCAAGTGTAACAGAGGAGTCTAAATTTGGGGACTTGGGTCTTTCAGCCTCTCTCTTCTGAAGGCTCTGCTTGGCTGAGCCCTGTAAGGAAAGCTGTATCTTCAACCCCTTCAGTGTTGGTTTTTTTTTATTGCACTTAATGTTATTGCCATTCTGTAAAAACATTGCAACTGCTTTCTTGTAATTATAGGGGGAGTTGTACATTTTTAATGGAGTTTGATGTTTTTTCCATACAAATACAGGTTATGAACATTACTCTTACTTGAATCAATGCGTTTCTACTGTTAAATATGTCAGCGTGTCTGTTTTAGCAAAGAAATGCCACCTTATGAAGCCATAAAATACAGTGAATTGAAAGCTGACACCTAATATACTTTTCATTGGAGACAGATGTTCAATGCAAAACTCATTCTTTCAGGTTTCATAAAGGCAAATAGAACTCAAATAATCCAGTTTAGTGTAAAATATGCAGTGACCAAACTGCTAATGCAATTCAGTACTTAAAATAATATAAATATATTGTTAATTAACAGAAGAAGATAACTGAATTTTTCTATATACTTGTAAAAAAAAATCCTTAAATAAGTTTTAAGGGTTTTATAACATTCTATTATTGTGAAATTATGCATCTATAAATCATGGGACAGAAGAGATATGTAGAATGTGGGGGGGAGGTTTGTTTGCTTTTGTGAAAAATTATGTGTTGCAAATTAAAATAAAAAATTTTAGTCTTTTAAAGATACTTGAAATAAATTTTTTAGAGAAGAAGGAGTGTATTATAAAAAGTAATACTCAAGCAGTTGCTGTAGCATAGTTATTTTGAAAATTTTGCTTTCTAGTGGCTTTAGAGCATTTTATAAAAATGCTGATGGGGCAAATGGGAGAATATGTAGGCTAGAATGGTGGCAAAGTCTTTTGAGGTGCTGACCTGTTGAGGTTTTTTTATGTCTGGGCTATTATAGTTTCAGTCCTGGCTTCATTTGGTCTGGAGATATGGCAAAAATATTATCAGTTAGGCCTAGGCTAACTCTGAATGTCTGCAGTGCTGCTGCTGCTCTTTTGCCTGGAGAAGTCATTTATGTATACAGGAGCTGTGAAGTGGGCTACATAGCAAATAGAATTAAGTGGGAATAAAAAAGGGAAAATCTTCATGTTAAAAAGATATTTCTGAGGTAAATGTGTGTTAGGAAAAACAAGTTTAGCTTCAATGAAGAATAGAATCTGCTCTATCTGAAGGTGGTTTACTGCAACAATCTTTATCTTTTTTTATCTTAGCTTAGCAAACTGAAAAGGCTCACATTTTGGGTTTTGCCCAAAAGATGCTAAAGTGCCTCAAAGTTTTCAGACAAGGGCTTAGAGAAATCAGCTTTCCTGTAACATTTTTAAAGTCATACTGCTTTATAATGTTGCTGTCTTTGGTATTGTGATATGGAGTATCAGGTCACAATGTATCAGCAAGAAGTTCAGAAGTTCATTTTTGTTACTTTTAATATTATTTGCTCCTTCTTAGCAAAGAGATACAGGAAAGCTTTACTTTTCCAATTTAATTTGACAAAAACTTGCAGTGAGCCTGTTCTGAACAGATTAATATATTCAGTTTCAAGACATCTCATGGAAGCAGGGATGAGGAACCAGTCTCACTTCAGTTTTTAATTTTTTTATTAATTTGGCATGTTAGACTATTGTTGCTAATGCATGTTGTGTAACAACCTATGAAAAATGAGTTAATACTCTCATTTCCTAAATGGCATATGTAAATACTGGGAAAAAACAATCCTGTCTTAATTGGAAGAACAAGAATTATTCCTTGATGTCCTCTTGATATGAGTGGAAGTTAAAAGAGCTGAAAAATACAGCTGCTTGTCAACATAGTGTCCAAAGTAAAGGCAGATTTTTTCAGTCAAAATGTGAAAATGAAAAACCTCCAATAAGAAATTGGAATATTTTTACTGAAAATTATGTTAAGATCCCGGAAGTTTAGTCTAGGATGGTAAATAATTCCCTTCTCATCTGGTGTCAGCATGCAATCCTGTCATGGAACACATGATCCCCTCTTCCAGGGGATGGAATTGCACTGCTGGGTAAGCTTGTCTGGCCTGCTGTGGAAGGCACCTGAAGTGCTGTGTCATATAGTGTGATATAAAAGTTGATATATTATGAAAGCAGAGTATTTTAGCTTTGTTCTTTTAGTGAAAATTTTAATCAGTGTGGCAAGCAGGTATATAATATGAAATTTCACTCTGTTATTTTGTTATGTACCTAACTCTACTTCTGAAAAAGAACTTTCATAGGAGCATTGCAGTCACTGTCTTGTCTACTTGCAGGATCAAGACTTAAGTGTCCTCTAAAAATATACCACCCTTTCTTTTTGACATGGTTTTCTATGTCTGTTACAAAATAAACTCTTAGCAATTCATGCTGTAACTACACATACTCACTGGTGTAAACCATTTGCCTGTAGTACTCTTCCTTTAAAACATTATGTTAAAGCCCTGGATCTTCATAAGTAGAGTGAAATATGTGGAGTTGGATATGCTAGAACTATATTCCAAATATCACATGCCTTCCCAAAGAAATCATGGGGTTTTTTTCATAATTTGCTGCATATCTACCAGTAAAGTAGTATTAAGGTTATTCACAAAATATTCAAAGTAATGCAAGTTTTTGAGTTAAAGCTTATTTCAAAATATTGTCCAGATTTCTTCTGATTTCTCTTTTTTTCACAAATGCAGTCTATACCATTGCATGCTTTCTGCCACGTTAACTTTCTTTTTGCTGTTCAGGTAGAGAAATAACAGCAGAAACCTTTATGGAGAAATTGGATAATGGTGCCTTGCTTTGCCGGTTAGCTGAGACCCTGCAGGAGAAATTTAAGGAAAACAGCTTTGATGCAAACAAGCCTGGCAAAGTAAGTGTTTGTCAACACTCTAGCATTTAATATCAGTATCTGGTGTATCTGACCATTTTATATGTTGAGATTCTTCAAATGGGTTGGGAGGTAATTGTTCTTTGTAGAAAAATTACAATATTAAATTGGGGGAAATAGTGCTTATTTGGTATTTCTTAAAGTATCTATGCAAAGCAGTTACTCAAAAAAGTACTTGTAGTATGTGGAGAATAAGAATAAACCATATCTAGCAGTGGAATGTGGTAGATAACAGTGAAAATATGATCCTTGTATTTATTTTCAAGGGGAATATTAAGTAGCTGTGTGGAGGTGTCTTTTCCTCCAAAAACACCTCTAGGGAGACCAATAATAAAACTCTATAGTTAGTTTTGGTGCCTTGAGTTTAAAGATCCTTTACAGTTGCTGAACTGGAAGGGGTTTCAGTAAAGAGTTGAAGGAATAATAATGGAAATAATAATAAATAATAATGGAAAATGTGAAACTAGAAGATACTTAGGAGTTTTGGAAGGATCAGTTTAAACACTTGTTTGAAAACAGCCTTGCTTTAATTTAAACTATTCTCATGGGACAATCTTACTGGGAAACATTCAAGAGTGCAGCAAGTTCATTTCTTCATTTCATTTCATTTCTTTGATGGTTGACACATTAACACATTCAGTGTGAAACTGTTCTTATTTTTCTGGTTGCATTCAGGTACATCTTCTTTGAAAGCTAAACCAGGCAAATAAAGAATGGGTAAAGAAGAGGACAAGAACAAAAATCACATAATGCATCTTCTATTCTTGATGCTTCATAACTTGTCTGTAGCAGAAATTAGGGCATGGCATAAATTTTATCAGCTGGTTTGAGAACTGACAGTTATCTGTCAGTTGTACCTGTGTAAGCTTTTTTTTTTGGTTCCAAGTTCATAATTGTTGTTGTAGAAGAAATTGTCATATTTCCTCGTTCAAATTATAATCAGGTCTTTTTTAGTAGAAGTATTGGGTGACTTTGGAGTTCCTCTTTGTAATGTGGTCTGGCTTGTCTTCACCTAAGTGCCATGGTAGTTTTCAAGTGAGAAAACATGTAGGGCATTTGATTGAGCCTAGGAGCTAGGTAGGCAGAAGGGAGGGTTACTTGTATGGTTTTTTGTGTTCTAAGTTACATTAGAAGCAAATTAGACATTTGCAGTCCCATATGTGGTCATTATTTGGATTTCTTGGTCTTTATTTGTCAGGCTGGTACAACTGACAATACATCTAAAAGGGAAAAAAATCTACCTCACTGCTATTTTCTCAATGTATGTTATTTCATACTTAGTACAGTAAGAATTCAAAGAAGTGGCAAAATAGATTTTAATTTTATTTTATTTATTTTATTTTTATTTTATTTTTATTAGGGAGCTATTCATATTTTCATATTTTAATTTCCTGTACAGCACTCTTGGGCAATAGGACTAGACTTCATGGTGAAAAATCTGACTTTGGGATAGCAAGAACATTTATGAGGAGATAATACTGTATAAAATTTAGCATAGGAAGAATTCCACCATCCTCCCCTGAAATTTTTTTTATGTTTTATTAATAATGTAAATGGAATTTTGAAGCCATTTGGCCCTTGCTCTGCACAAGAAAACAGAAACATGTTCTTTCACCAAGGTACCCTGATGACTTCATTGGCAGCTGGGAGAAGCCACTGATTTCTGTTGAGTTCAGCTTCTATCAAAATAGATAACAAATTTTTCTATCCACATATGGAACTTCTAAATGTTTTAGGTAGAAGCAGCTGATATGAAATGATCCAGAAGGATCAGCTTGCATCTGAGTGAGGAAGGCAGGATAAAGATGAGGTTCGTGGAGGGAGTGTGTGCAATCTTACTGAGGCCTTCCACAAGCTTGAAGATTTGAGCTGTTTTCAAAAGCAAAGTTTTTCCTTGTATTTGAACTTGTTCCTGTGGAAAAGCTTCATGGGTTTAGTTTTTTTAGTTCCTTAAAGAAAGATGGTATATCCTGCTCTGACTGATATGTGCTACTAGTCATGAAGTCATTGTGCAGTTCTTTGGGGCTGTCTGGCCAGTTTAGCAACTATAGCAACAGATTTTAGAAGGTATTAAAAGCTAATATTGCATGCACTCATCAGTCTTTTACCATAATTCCTTAAATTCATATGGCAATACTCCACAAAATAGCAGAGGTTAAATCCTATTGCTTCTGATTTAATAGCTTGTGCAGTAAGTTTCAAGTCAATGCCAGTTTTGCAGTTTGTTTGTTAACTAAACTGTAACATTCCCTTTCTTATTAGTGAGCATTGAACTTCCTTCAGATTTCAGGAATCCCTTAGCATCAGCTATTTAGAGTGTGGAGTAAATTGGGAAAACAGAGTTTTCAAAAAAGTTCCCAACATACTGTGTTTTCCAAACCTGGAAGGAAGATTGTCACGTTGATATCAACGCTTCTTTTTGTGCCATGTGGAAACACTTGTGGATCCTGGGGAAATTTTCAAAATACATAGGAAACTACTAGTAATGTGACTTGGGGATAGAGCTTTAAGTGACTGAAAAGGAGATTAAATGGTGTGTGATGCAAAAGTAGTTTTCTTTCCTTAAGAGTCAGAGGCAGGCAAAAAAGACATAACTTTTTATTCACGAAGGAGATAATGGAGTTGCTTTTTTTTAGTGACTGGATAGGTTAGGATGCTTGAGTGTGGAAAGAGGGACATATGATGGAGCTTGTAAAATCAGGAATGATGTGGTAAATGGTCAGTTTCTATACAAAAACCACGGGATATTGAATGAAGCTGGTGGAAGCCAAACAAGCAAAAGGGAGGCCTTGTTTACATACAAGTTGAAAAATTCTTGTCAAGGAGTGTTTAAATTGACCTGGGTTCAAGTAAATACTGAGTAAGTTATTGGAAGAGAGATCTGTTAGAAGGCTGAATACACAGAAATCCCACACAGATGAGGAAATCCTTATAGCTGAAAATGATTAGAACTTGAGAAAGGATAAGAGTCACTCACATGTTCTGTGTTATTGTTTCTTGGGGATGAATAACCTGCTGGATGTGACAGTGGACAAAGGGAAATCTATTACTAGAGTCAAACTGTGAAGAAATTATTTTAAATTATATTTGTATTTTTTTATTTCTGTATAAAGCCTTTTTAGGACTGAATCCCTGCATCTAAAAATGCCCCCTGGGCCACACTCTGCTTTGGTATTTGTTTTTCAGGAGAATGATGTGGAATCTAGAGTACAGGAGTTTGGCAGTCTCTGCATGTTGCTCTTGAGAGCTTAATGCCCTAATAGGCACCTTTGGATACCACAGTGGGTACTCTGTGTCTTCATGACTCCAGCTACTTTGCTGTTTGATTGGTCAATCATTCACTAATAAGATATTAAAAGCATTTCAGTTTCTAAATAGGAAGCATTTAAAAATTGTTCATTTCAGAAGATGTTAGGTTCTAGGATTCTTTTGCAAGTCCTAGAAGATGATGTTCTTCATTTTTTAAGCAGCTGAACCATGCCTCAAAACCTGATCGTTCTGAAAGCATTAATGTTGTGTCTGATCCTTTGCTGCAAACAGACAAAATTTTTGAGTTTTAGATGAAAATGGATTTTTTAAACAGAGAGGGCACTGTGAATATATATTTTCTAAGAAGTAATTTTTTCCTCTTGGAGATTTTGAGAGTCATGTCTTATAATGTACATTTATAAAATGACAAGGGGATGACTGGTATCAATCTTAATAAATGTTCAAGATTTGTATGGCTGTAAATTGTTGAAACTACCTGTGCTGCTGCCAATGGAGTACTATCTTGAAACTACAGACTTATTATTATAGCAGCAGTTATTCCATAAAAGTTACTAATGTTGCACCATGCCATTGTGTAATATTCTCCCATTGACTTGCATTTCTTCATAGTCTTCTGTCACTATTTTACCTTTCTTGACAGATATTTAATTTGAGAATTTCACAGCTGTACAAACAAATCCAGAGCATCAAGGCATGTGCAGTATGCACAGAGCCCATATTTGATTTGGTTTGGCTTAGTTTAGTAAGACCATTAATAAAGATTTTTAAATAAACATAAATAAATTGTGTTAATTGTTGTTACCATTTTTGTTGGCAGGGCACAGTCTGCCCTCCATCCTTGAAGCTGCTGATATATTTACAAACACTCCACTTAAAACAATGGCTTCATGAAGCAGGTTGAAGGTGAATTATCTTTGAGGGTCATGTTGTGCATTTTAAGAGTTACAATTAAAAGAATCAGTACCAATTATTCAGAATTAGATCTGGATTCTGGATCTTGCTCATAGACCCCAGGTGGCCAAGCTGAAAGTCTGATTTAATCAACTTGATGGTTTTAATTATACTATAGGCTTCAGTTTCTCAGGATTATCTGTGTCCTGTAGATGGATAAATGTATGGTATTCTGTAAACTCGGTGCCTTGAACCTGTCTGCCCAGTGAAGAGATGTCAGCTGCATCAAAGCCATAGTCAGGTGCCCACTGAAAGTTATAAATCTGACTCTCCAGTCGAGAATTTCTTGAATAGGGCTGCATGAATTGTTAGGCTATGAACAGATCCTTTGTGGTCTGAAGCAGCAATTTGTTTTTCTGCACGCTTGTACTTTCTGTACTTTTATTTTGCAATAAAAGCTCACGGAGCCAATTTCTAATCAAATACATTATAGCTATGGCTCTCAGTTACTTGGAAGGATTAAAAAACTACAGCCTTGTCTCTTTGTGTGTTACTCTTTCTAGTGGCAGACTGATGTGGATGTGAGAGGAAAAGAATGATCTTGCAAAACAATTCACAAGTGCTAATTCATCTAGAAGGAAGAATTTCCACGAGACTGCAGAGCTGCTCGTTAGAGAACTCTTTGTGTGTTTCTCAGACATGTCAATACTTGCTCATTCTCTGGGGTTGCTACCAGGTTTCTTGCAGTTACTGCAGGATTTGTCTGCAGCAGGTCACATGCACAAACCTTCTGTGCCTCAACAAATCCTCCTTCAACCAAA